ATACCACATCCAGAAAATGGATGAGGTGTGAAAGAATCTCTTGTTTAATGTGACCTTTGGCTGTACTTTCACTTGTCATCATTATGAAGTAGCTACTTTCAGTGCCAACACATAAGCTGCATTATATTACCCTATAACAGTAGTAGCACGTCTTTCAGGAAGTGTTTCATACTCCGAGAAACTGGTGGCAGAATGCATTGACAGCACTTACCTTTGTAACTGCTTATAACAGGTCTTATCCAACAATAAGACCCCATTTACCTAAGGAAGTAAGTGACTGTACTAAATTTCATAGAGCATGTCACATAAACTAGTATATGTTGAGGAACTCCCTTGGAGTTCTCAGCTTCAGTGAAAACACTCAAATAAGGAGAAATGTAAATTTCAGATTGGAACTCTGCCCCAAATAATAATATTCAGAGCTTTGTTACTGTGCACAGACCAAAAATACTGCATCGTTAAGATCTGCAACATACTTGACTTTTCTTAACGTATGTAATTAAGAAAATATTTCTGGAAAGCAAATGAATTTGAAATTCAAGTAAGATTAATAGAACAAATACGACAAATTTATGCTTTATACAATGGTAGCAAGCTGCACAGTGAAAGTCAGTAGCTATCATTATCTAAAGCTGTTCATCTAACACTGTAGAGAGAAAAACCATTGATACATACTGTACACACATTTTTATCCATGTATATAAATCAAAGGAAACAGCTTCCTTTAAGGCAAGCATATGAAGATACTAAAGCAAGATACAAATTAAATATTCATACATTCAATATTTCAAAATAAGGAATTTGGATATACACATGCATAATTTAAGTTCTATAGTGAAACCTGTCTACAGAGGCCATTTCTACTGTATTTCAACAGCACTGAAACTTGAAATGTACAATGCAGCCTTTCCATGCTGTGTTAAAACTTTAAAGTATATAGCAATTCATTTCAAGTACTAAACATAGAATAAAGGCCACGTTATGCGCACGGCACTTTTGCAGAGGAACTGCTGCTTTGCCCTATTCATTACAGCTCTGAAACAGGGCTGTCAGTCACAGCGCTCTCCTGCAAGGTGGCTTCAGACTGCCCAACGAGTCACTCATTGGGAACTGAGGTCAAATAGGCAACTTCAGGTAAGAGGCTCATCAGTCCTGAAAAACCCATCAGAATTGACTCCAAGTCAAATTCTGATCCCAGGCAACTGTTTTAAACTCCGTAGAGCTGGTGCTCATACGTGAAGCCTAAAATTGGCCCCTTACACTGCTTTTATACATTCACTCAAGCCTCTTTGGAGTAAAAGATGAGATTTCAGACCTTTTTAATTGGCAGAAGAAAGCAACACAAAAACAGGCTTCACAACAACATATTGTGCACTAGGAATGATTCTTTGTGAACACAGAACCTGAGACTAGTTTACATACAACAACACAGACATGTTAGATTTTCGGAGCTTATAAATTCCTATGCATGCAAAAAACACTGTGGGGAAAAAGCTCTACTACCCACCTTTCCCCCTCAACACGTATCTTCTTCTGCATGTGTCTAAAGATAACACCATTCCTGCCCATATACTTAAAGCCTTGCTGCTAAAAAGGAACTCTCCATATGAGTTATTAATGTGAATATATTGTCTTCTTATTAGAAGTTAAATGTATTAGTTCAAATATCAAGAGTCTAATTTAAAAAACTTCCATTTTATTGGGACAAAAATATCTCAAGTTAACTTTAAGAATAATTAAAGAGTACTTGTTAAGGGGAAAATAGAACTACTCTGTTTCTACATGTTTTAAAGTAAACATTTGTCTTTGCTCTTTAAAGGTCACTCATTTGATCTTGACACATCTATGAAATAATAGTAGCAAAAGATAAATAAGTAGAAAATTGATATTAAGCAATATAAAGCTAAACAAAATTAGTATCTACATGGTAAATTACTTCGTTGAAAACCATCTATGGATTCTGCAAAGAATATACTTTTGCCTTAGAGCTAGTACTTTAATTTTCAAGAACCAAGGAAAAAAAAAAATCAAAACTAGTCAGTAACAATGCAGCGTCGAAAAGCAATAAACTCAAAATTAAGTTATAAATAATTTAAAGCATGTCATGAAGATGTATTAATAATTCATCAGATAAATAATTTACTAAATAATCAAATAAATAAATAATGAAATACATAAATAAATCAGCAAATAAATAATTCTGCAAAATAACCTAAACAATAAGTCACTAAAACAAATGACAAACCTACAAAACTACAATGATTTTCTAAATTCTGATAGTTTTAAATAAACAAATGTATATAAACTAGATCAATCTTTGGTGGGTAGAGAAATATTTTTCACTGCTATTGGTAAATTCCTGATTACACTGCACAAGGATACAATTTTAGATTTTACAAGAGTGCAGTTTTTCCCTTGTAAATTATTAACATGATTGCTACAATACATCCTGCTCTGTATTTTACATGTAATCCCTTTATGTAGCTCATTTTTCCCCCCCAAAAATGAAAATCTCTTTACAACATTCTTAATTCACTTATTTCTTTTTTTTTCCTGGGTGCAGTACTTACAATACTACAATAGCCTTCTCGGTAGTTCTCTTACCATCTTCTGCAAACCTTCAGAAGTTTTGCTGCAGGGGGAAAACAAGTAGAATAACCTTAATTATTACAGATGGTATCTCATTCATTAGCAGATGACAACATTTTATTTGAAAGCACAAGAAAAGCTGTTTTATAATTCTACAAAGCAACTTAATGTGAAACAACCATTACAGTTTGCAGACTACCAAAAGTTTTTAGAAGTCTTTGGTGGAACGAGTTCAAGCAGACTGAGGCCTGTTTCTTGTATTTAAGCTGACACACAATCTGTGCAAACTGGCACTAATTCAGATGTAAAGACAAACCATGAGAAGGACAAAATACTTGGCTGACATCTAATGTTATCCTTGATTTTGGAAGTTCATAGTCCTTGAAAGAATACAGTGAGATCATTTAATTCCACTATCTAAGTACGTTCACAATTTAATTTGAACACTGCACTCCAAAGCCAACACTGGCACCACAAAGGTCAAAATTCACTCATCTCCTGAATCAGTTTTCATTCTCCATTTATTTTAATGAATAGTATTGACAGTCGCCAAAGTTTTCTTCAAAGTGGTATTCTGTAAATATAGCACTTAAAGAAATGTGCCAGAAGTGTAATCATGTTACCAATTTTTATCCATGCCATCAAAAAGGTTTATTTGCTTTTTTCCGTAACATACATTACAGGGAAGAGTGAGACATGGTTTTATAAACCATGCCACTGACATGGATTCTAGATCTCTGTACAGGACTGTAAAACCAAATGAATACATCAAACCTGAGGTTATATATTGTATATATGCACGGTCTTTTACTACTTGGTTCAAAGGAAATCAGTATGCAGTGCTGTTTCTGCTGGTGAGATCTCAAATGGTTGATGGTGTTGCTGTATTTCAGCATTTAAAAGCATAAAGGATAATTTACTCTTAAAACTACCTGGGCACATTATATTTAACAAGTCTCAAATTCTCTTCAGGGATTATAATAAGGAAACACTTTGCTTAATCATAAATTTTATATTTATCTTGGCTAAACACCCTCCTTTGGATAGACTGCCATGTTTTGTCAAGAAAAATCAACACAGTGGAAATGAAGTACTTGTTCTGTTGTGTGGTCATTCAAAAGAGTATGTAGAAGTAATGTAAATGTGCACCAGCGCTGCTGATAATTTCACGCTCTCATACACCCATTTCAATTTGCTTTAAAAAGGACTATTCCTCCTGGCTAAATATAGTCATCATGAAAAAGCACACCTCCCCTTTGAGCTAATAACACTGCAGGCCCCAAAACACAAGAATACAAAAAACTTCTACATTTTAAGGAATCTGAAGCACTTTTTTCTCACAATGTATGTTTCTGAAGTGGGACAAACAAGACTGTTTTTTTTGCTAAGGTATTCTCTTTTAGTGCCCAGATTCCTGTTTGAGAACGACAATTCATTCCCACACTACATCTGCAAATCCCATCTACCCCCAAAACAAATCATACATACCCCAAATCCTTCTTTTTTGAAGTAATGGACCCTTGTAAAAGCAGTATATACCTTCACACATTAAAAGATTTTGAGAATTACTGGGACATACAATGGCTCAGGAGTGATCCTGAGATTCTGGAATCAGACCTTCTCTAGGAAGCACCACTTAGTCATAGATCATCTTCATTCATCTATGGCTTGGCAGCGTCTGGTAACAAAGTGATTTTTCACCAATGAGTTACAGTAGAGCTAAAACCGTAATTACAGTCACCAATGTCTTAAAAACACGTTGTTTTCTTCCCTTCAAAGTTTCCTTAGTTTTTAATTGCTTTCCTGTTTAATTTGGGCTTCTAATCTATGGTTACAGAACTAACTTCCTCACACAACTATTTCTGTCTAAGTTAGAGGGTCATAATTCCCTGCTCAAATAGACATGCAAATCATTTAAAGAAAGGACACAAAACAGCCAATGACTTGGGATACAGCCACCTTTCTCCCTCTTGCAATCAAATGCTAATTCCATCCTACACAAGAGGTAAAGGACAGAGACTGAATTTGATTCCATTCCTCTGTTCTGCCAACTAGTCCTTTCCCACCCCAACCCTCAAACATAGTATAGGTGCCTTTACTCAACAGATCATGCAAAAGACTGGTCCACAGAAGACTAAAGCAAAAGGCAGTGCCATTCAGGTGTACTTCACAGAGCAAGAATACCAGAAATAAAGTAATTGCATGCATTCTATACCCTGCCCAGGCTGAGAAGCTGAACGCTACATTAAGGAGGCCACCTTGCTGGTACTCAAGTTGTTTTGGGTGATAATGCAAGGAACTGGATTGTACCAGATACCCAAGAACGCATTTCAGATATTTACAACGGCAAAATTACAAATAAGGCTCACAGTAAAAAGCACCAAGCAAAAAGATCTTCTATTCTCCAGCTTTTGATACTGCCATCATCAGAAAGTTTCTTAGTTCGCAGGTACAAATCAGATCAAAAGAAACTGCATACTGCTGCTTCTTCCCTTTGGGAACTCATGAACGTAGGAACCAGAGGAAATTTTAGAAAGAGATTACCATATAATTTCAAAATTTAGGAGAGGATTTTTTTTTTTTTTAATGTTCAGGAGTAAATACAGGGGAAAAGAGAAAGGCTGGACAGACGCGCTTAACCAAATTATAGGTAATGTAAGGTACTGACCACTATATTATGACTCACATTTCAAGGATTCTTTGAATTGTTATAAGTTATGTAGAATATTTTGCATTATCAATGAAAAAAAAAATTACTGCAATGGATTATTATACTCAGGAACTTAAATAATACGTAAATCCTTTCCAGGCCAGAAGCTTCATTCCTCTGCCACACTTCCCTCCCTCTATTTATTACAATTGATCAATTAAGTTAAAAATTATCTGTTTGGTCCACTTCACATAGAAAGATACGTCTGTGACTCAGTACAGTACTTGATTAAGATTTTTAATATATCTCTGATTTTTTTAATCATAAAAAGCAAAGAAGTGCTTGTTACACATATTTTATAAGTCTAACTAAAAACTGTAAAAGTAACCCAGTCTTACAATCAGTTACAGGATAATTTTGAGTACGTTCCAGGTAAGAATTTTGAGTATTTCTTGAATAACTTTTTAACCAGCTTCTTCCAATTGTCTCTTAGTAAAAAATCAATTTTAAAATATTAAAACATACAGTAAAATGTTAAATCCCAAACTACTGAATCAACTGCTATCAATACAACACATAGCTCATTTGACTGTTATGACCCACGTTTCCTAGTCGATTTTTAGATAAAAACAAGCAGATTATTAGCAAAGGTTTATCTCAAATTCCCACATGTACAGCATGCCACATTAAATATATGCAAATCAACCTCTTTCTCCTCTAGTTTTTTTTGAGCTGACAACTCATATGACCTGAAGCCATGGTTAACGATGACAATTATTTGACTTTCATATTTATACAATCAGTCATCAGATATGCATGTTAATTGATTTTAACAGATAGTTTTGTATTCTAATGATCAACAGTAAGTGTACATTTTACCAACCTCTTGATTTATAAGAAAATAAAAAACTTGTATCAGTTTTCACAATTAACCCTTCATTGTATTGATTTGCAGTATTCACTGCAGATGTCTCTATAATACATTAACCTGGAAGTACTCCAAACTATGTGATCTTTATTTTGGCAGCAAAATTTGATTTTCCAATTAAAGACACTCTTCTATTGTGTTTAAAAAACACAATTACTACCCTATTTAAACAATGCATTGTCTATTAATTAGAAATGATGAAACATAATTAATGCTTAAATAAATGGACTGGGCAAAAAATTAATTTACCATTATTTCATATTCACATTTTGGTACTTAAAGTTCTTTTCTCTTTTTCAAAGAACCTTAGTCGTGCACTTCTTGATTCTAATAAGCCCTCAAATGTCACATACATGACAGAGTACAACCCTACGTTTAAGATCCTTATTTCTTAAGTAATATGCTTAAAGCCAAAGCATTCCTCCGTTGCTGTCACAAAGAGTATTACTGAATCGGTTACTTTTTTTTACATGGCTGACAATTTATTCTTTGCAATTACATTTTTATTTCACATGCACTATTTATTGAAGCATCAAATACAAACTTACAAATTGCACGGATTTGCACGCGAAGGACTGACTACTTTGTAGCTTGTACAGTGTGCAATCATCATCTTACACAATTAATGGTGGTTGTTCTTTAAGAAAATTCATATAAAAGAGAGTGGATATTGCATCTTACTCTCAAAAAGATCAGATCATGTCTTATTCCACAGAAGTGCTCTCCCAATTTAGGCCTTAGTTGTTGCTGGACTAAAGGCTTATGCTCCAATTTTGGTAAAGCAAGAACTGCCAAATCCCTTTCTCAGTATATTTTAATACCGATACAGATATTTTAATTTCTGCAAAATGCAGAATCTTTCTACTTTCTGTAAATAACTGAACGAGGTGCTGAGTCTATTCATCTTTTATCCAGGTAAGCATCGTGCAGTCCAAGTTCTGCTACCATCTCTTTTTGGCTGTCTGCTCCAATTAATTTCAAGTGAAATTTATCCATTATGAGATTTTGAGATACATTCTCCAGAACAAAAAGCAGCATAGAGACATTAGAGCACTCATCTCAGATATATAATGCTGATTCGTATCATGGACAGAAGAAACTTAAAGCCATGTTACCACAATCATGAACAAGCACCTTAACCTCTAAAACACCGTTTAATGGATTTTTCTGATTTTTAAAAGGTCTTGATTTCACACTGAACATGAGAGAGGTATTGAATATATGACAGGATTCTGTTGCTTTCTTAATAGTTATTTTCCTTAAACTAAGGACTGGCATCATGGCAAATACCGATAAAGCAAATAAATTCTCTTCAATCTTTCCCTTATTGGGAAATACCTTCTTGGTGTTCAACAGATCTTGATTTCATCCTGAACATAACGAGAAAGTCTCGGGGTCTGCAGAAAGGGGAAATCCATCCCACCCTAATCACTAACCCAGTTTTAACGCCACAGATATCAAAGCAGAGA